TAATGAAGGAAAACTTCCCCAATTTGACAAAGGAAATAGACTTTCAGGAAGTCCAGGAAGCTCAGAGAGTCCCAAAATAGTTGGACCCAAGGAGGAACATACCAAGGCACATCATAATTACATTAGCCAAGATTAAAGATAAGGAGAGGATCTTAGAATCTTCTGATCCGTAGTCAGACGCATTATCCATTGCACCACTGGCCTGCACCTCAGGAGAGGATCTTAAAAGCAGCAAGAGAAAAGGAGACAGTTACCTAAAATGAAGTTCCCATTAGACTATCAACTAACTTCTCAAAAGAAACCTTGCAGACAAGAAGGGGCTGGAAAGAAGTATTTGAAGTAATGAAAAGCAAAGACCTACATCCAAGGTGACTCTATCCAGCAAAGCTATCATTTAGAATGGAAGGGCAGATAAAGTGCTTCTCAGATAAGGTCAAGTTAAAGGAGTTCATCACCACCCAGCCATTATTATATGAAATGTTAAAGGGACTTATCTAAGAAGAAGAAGACAAAAAAACATGTACAATAAAATGACAGCAAACTCACAATTATTAACAACCACACCTAAAACAAAAACAAAAACAAGCTAAGCAAACAACTAGAACAGGAACAGAACCACAGAAATGGAGATCACATGCAGGGTTATCAGTGGAAGGAGTAGGAGAGGGAGAGGGGGAAAATGTACAGAGAATAAGTAGCATAAATGCTAGGCAGAAAATAGACAGGGGGAGGTTAAGAATAGTATAGGAAATGCTGAAGCCAAATAACTTATATGTACAACCCATGGACATGAACTAAAGGGGGGGGAATGTGGGTGGGAGGGGGTGTGCAGGGTGGAGGGGAATAAAAGGGGGAAAATGCAACAACTGTAATAGCATAATCAACAAAACATATTTAAGAAAAAAACAGATTCAGTTAATAAAGTAATATACCATATTGTGCAGTGTGTAATGCTCACTTTTTTTGCCCAAATTTTTGAGAGAAAAGTAAAGATGAGCATTATACATGGGTAGTACTAATTCTGTAGCTATGTAAATGTTTTTAATTTTTTTAGTGTATTTAATTTTATACATTTGTTACCTAAAATTTCTTGTATCATATGTTCAAAAATAAATGTTAAAACTCCTTTATAATACAAAAACAAGTATCTAAATATAAGTAAATAAATGAGTTAAGAAATTAAAATGAAAGATTTTTTCCTGAAAGTTTGGGCCAAAACTGTGGGTGCACATTATAAAAGGCAAAATGCAGCAGGTTTCAAGTGTACATATCCATGATACATCATCTGTATATTGCAATTTTTGCCCACCACCCAAAGTTAAACCATCCTTTGTTACCATATATTGACCAATGTCCCCCTAATAAACTTAATAAAAATAGACCTATATACTAAAAAAATTAAAAACTTAAAAAGATTCTTCTAATAGTAAAGTTTGTAGAAAGATAAGCACCTACACTTTAAAAGAGAAATTGGTGGTACAAATTTGTTCTGAAGTGCCACATTTTATGTATGTGCATGGCTATTCACACTCTGACTCATTGCAAAAATCAATCGGAAGTATTTAAATGTAAATTGATACGATTCAGACTCTAATTTTAAAGTTCATGTACTAAAAATTTGGTTTATGAAGACTGCCGTTCTTACACAAATTTGGTTAAACCCCCCCCCCCAACACACACACACATAATTAGCACTTTTTCAAGCACAACACAAAATGAGAGCCAAGGAATATTTTTAAATTTTTTAAAACTGAAGTATATAGTGTTGTAGTAAAAAGGGCCAAAAGTAATGATCAGAAGACATGCAATCAAGTCTTCTTAAATTTAAGTTTTCTTTTTTTAATCTGAAAACAAAGAATACTTTTTTAACACAGATCATAGGATTTTTATGAAGACAAACAGATAATATACACAAAATATTTCTGGGAGTGGGGAAGATAGCACTTAATGTTCAGAACATTAAGGATATGAGTAGCAACTGGCAAAATGTGTTGTATAGCACAAGTGGTCAATAAAACATTTAACATCCTTTCTTGTGCAAGTATTATAATATTTTTATGAAGCTATTAAATATAAAATGACAAAATATATTTAATGTCAAAGTTGTGCACCTCTTGACATGATAAGCCTATTTAATTGTGTTACATGGTAGGAAGTAAAGCCCAACGTCCCCACCTTTCTGTTCAGAGTTTTTTGTTTTTTGTTTTTCCCCTTAGCCATAAGTCTTTCCATGGACCAATTAGTTAATGGAAAAGAGTGACAATGATGGAACTTGTGAGAGGATAAGTCTTTGTGTGGAGAAAGAAACTTGCAGTTCACAGGGCCATGACAGTGCAGTGGCAAAGCATTAGGATGCTAGGACAGTTAAGCTCCACTTAGCAGAAGCACTTTTCCCCCAAACTTGGAACAGAGTCTTTGTGCAGGGCTCCAAGGAGCACTGTTCATCTGCCCATCTGGCCAGATGAAGAGCAAGGGGATTCTTTCATCAAAAGAGAGAGCCTTAGAAGGAGGAAACAGTGAATAAAGGGCTGAATCCTAAGGATTACTAATGCTTTTGAACTGCCCTGGGAAGATCAGAAGTGAGCAGCATAGAAGCTTTAATGCCTGCCCAAATAATGGGCACTATTTTTTTTAAAAAAAAAAAGGCATAGGAGGAAGGTTTGGGGTGAAGGTGCTCCGCTAAGAGGCTTGTGTTAATATGATCACAGATATGCAAGTCATAGATAACAACAACAAATACCAGGTGCATGTAAAGTATCAAAGCAAATAAATATGACATCATGTTCAATTCCATCAGTGCTGTTATTATCATCCAAAAAAAAAAAAAAACAAACCATAGTTCCAAATTAAATCCAGCCTAAATCCTGAGACCATCCAGCAAGAATACTATTTTTTTCTTTCTTTAATTCATGTCTCATGTGCTCACCAAATTTTTTCAGGACAGGCTTTGCATTAGCAGTACCCAGAGGTATCCCCAGCTGGGTGGCTCAGGATTTACTTGAAGAAAGCCCTCAAGGAAGTAACACCCTAGCTACTGTTTCTGTCTTCTGGAGAACAACTAGCATTTCTGGCCATTTGGGGCCACAAATTTCAATTGTTCTCAGGTCATCTGTTATTTGAAAAACTGGTGTTTCACATGTAAAGTTCAACATTAACTCTATTTTTCCACAGCCACCCTATGAATTGTCTAGGTTAGAGTTTTTAATGTCAATTGAAGAGACAAATCAATACCTAATACAGGAGATGAAAAACAAGAAAACACTTAACCTGAAATAGGGAGTCTCAGATTTAGATTTAGGAAGTATTATAACCCTCCTGATCCATAGCACTCAGCTGCGAGTACCTTGGGTGTGTTTTGGCTCTGTCATCACAAAACAAGGATCCTCCTGAGACACATTCCCAGCATACACAAGCTGTTTCCTAAAGAAATTCAGGCTTAAGCCACCCCCCACCCCACACACAGAGCTTGACCCCTAGGGAAGAGTTTGCTCTCTCAAACAATTGACACAATTTTTGAATATGTTGAATGTTGTTAAAAATAAAATAAAAATGGAACCCTTTGATTAAACATGTGAACTCAGAAAATAATTTTAGGTTTCTTGGATATTTGTATTCTTTCTCACCTTACTTTAGCCTTCCTTGGAATCCCAAACATTTACAAGAGAAAATATTTTAAAGGCTAATGTTAGATCCATAATATCTTAGAAGTTTCATGGAAATATTCTTTCTTTAGCTTCTCAAAGAGTATACATAAAAGTACATAATACATAATATGTATAAAGGATGTAACCTTTTTCTTCCCAGCAAATGGTCCTTTGTTTCCATATCCTAGCCCTCAAATTAATGTTATAAGACTCAGGAAGCAGAAGACATACTGGCTAAATGGGGAAAAAGTACACAACTTTTTCAAAGTATTATTTCATGATGGATACAAAGATGAGCTCTAGAAACAGAAAGTCTGGCTCAAATCTCATCTATGCATTTACTGACAAAGTTATTTTGGCTAACTTACTCCATCTCTCACATCTTATTTTTGTCATCATAAAATAGGGAAAATGATGATAATAGTAGAATCTATCCCATTAGGCTGTGAGAATAAGATGAGTCATTTGATACAAAGGACTGAGAACATTTTCTGGCACCTAGTAATTTTCTAGCACTCAGTAAATATTATCTTTCATTGTTACAAATCTCATGAAACTGTTTATTCCTATGCTTTCTTCTTTAATATAGACCACAGTGTAGAAACAACCACAAATGGAAATGCTATACATGCTTACCTGGACATTAAAAACACAATAATTTATTTGGTCAGATGGTGATTCACTATTTTACAGTGAAAACAAAGTTTACTTTAAAGATAATGGCACAATATTAGTCTCTATACACATATGTTTATTTAGTCAGAATAGTGGAGAATTAAGACAGTGATTCAGATCATTTGTCTTGGAAAGGGCAGGGTTGTGGGACAGTCCTTTTACTTCAATTTTCTATCCAAGCTAAGTTTTCTAAATCTTTACAACTCAGTCACATGATCTATGTAGGTATAGAGTTTAGAAAAAGATATCTAAAAACTGGATCCAGTAATACCAGTAAAATTAATTTAACCAACATTTGGGAGCCCAGTTGGTGTAATTTATATACATTTATCAAGAGAGTTTCTGGACAAGCTTCACGGAAGCCTTGATTATGCCAAATAAAACAGTACAATCAGCACATTTTCCAATCACCCTGCCCAAGGTGGAAAAAGGAATGTAGACTGATTAATTTAACTAACGTCTTCAACAGCTTACAAAGTCTGATTCGGATGTAATAAAAATTTATTGGCATTACTGATTTCATAAACATCAGCTGCTTTAGCATGTCCCACACTTCAAAACCTTCTTTGAAGACCAAATTACCTTCTACCTGGTAATATATTTTTTAAAATCATAGTTAATAATCAGGGGCTTCTGTTTTCATGATCTTTGCAAAGCCAGCATCCATGCCTTCATTTTTACCTTGTTATTTAATTCTTGGTCTTCTTTTAAGAGAGTGAGATCACAGTCCATAGGGCAAGAATCAATTTTATTAAAAATGCTTCCTAGGGTTAAAAACAAAAAGTGTAAAAAAACATATTACAGATTTTCACTTCAGAGGATATGTAAGCTTACACTGCAGAAATCTAGGAGCTTGTATAAGACCTGACAAGTGGGGAAGAAGAAATACTAATACATCCTTCTATTAAGAAGGATGCTTATAGCTGTTTTATGCTCCCAGTTTTAATTCAATATATAAACATGAAGTAGAACTCCACTACTGGCAACAGCACAGGGATGCAATTTATAAGAAGCAGCTGTGTCTGATCTGCTTTCCTACCCTCACCTGGGTAAGATTCTCTGCCATTAGCTATGTTTCTGTGATCAAGTTTTCAAAGAAACTCCCATGTACCTCCTATAAATGTTTCAACATAAAACCTTGACACTATAGAGTTCTGTTCTCTGCCTGTACCCAATGTTTCCCCCTGAGATACTTGTTTCATATCTTTCATGACTTGTTCTATATCATAGTTTCTCAACCTCAGCACCATTGACATTTGGGATTGGATAATTCATTGTTGTAAGGGCAGAGCTGTGTTTTGTAGGATATTTAGCAGCATCCCACTAGATGTCATAGTACCTTCCACTTCCCCATACCTTCTCTAGCTGTAATAACCAAAAATGTCTCTGGACATTGCCAAATGTCCCTTGGGGCAGCAAAACATCCCCATTAGAAAACCATTGTCTGGATTGGAAACTCCTTGCAGACAATGTGTCTTGCTCACCTTTGTGCCTCCTGTAATGTCTAACACAGTGCCTGAAACAGAGTTCAACAACTATTTCCTAAATTATAAATAGAGATATCACATAAGCAAGTATTACTTCAGCTTTATGCCTCTTAAGTCATTGACTTGATGACCCCTCACTTCAATAAACCAAATGTCTACACTCAGAGTCTTGTGACAAACATCCCGGCCCAGATGCTGCTAGAGCTTTGAGTGCCTCAGTAGAGCCACAGCTTTGACAAAGAGGTTGACCCAACATCTTTTTTTTTAAGTATACATGTGTCATATACTATGAGTAGCCAAATCCTTGCTGCCTGTCCTCTTCTCTCCCTCCAGAGTTTGAATACTGCCAGCTCTTTAGAATTGCCCTTGTGGACATTTTTTATTGAAATTCCTATAGTGTAAAATTTTTAGGACATGGTCTCCATGTCTGCAAGCTTTTTCTCTCTAAAAGACCTGGCCAGCATCTTCTACCCAGCCCAGGTCTGTGTGGATCAGGCATTTCGAACATTAATGCTTTCGTTGTAACTGCTGACCCAAACAAAAGTCATAAACCAAAAATTAACTTTCTTTAGGGAGTTTCAATGGGTCAGGTGCCTCTTCTGTGAGAAGCCTGACATTTTGGTCTTTGAGATGAGAATCACGTAAATCATTGGAAGAGATTCCTTACTTTGAGTCTAAAACAAAATTCCTTGCTGCTGTCGACATGGACAAAATCAAGATAAGACAGGGAGGAGAATGGAAGAAGGGAGGAAAAAATCATTTTTATATGGAGTTTAAATAAATTATTATTTTTCAAGTCTTTTAGTTTATCAGGGCATAGTTGCTAGATGAAATAGCAATTATAAAATAATAATAAAACCCATTTTAGTGTTTTATAATAACTTTATATTATGCTGTGTATATACACACACACCAAAATAAAATAAAATAAAACAATAAACTACTAAAAAAAGTATCATTACTATCATTACTCCCTTTGACAGATTCAGAAATTGAGACTTGAATAGATCAAAGAATTTCTCCCAAATCAGACAGTTAATCAGTGAAAAATCTGAAATTGAGACCCAAGTTCTATTTAACTTCAAGGTCTATGCATGTAATCCCTCTATCTTACTTGAGAACTAGTTATACACAGTTTTAAACATTGACCAATATATTCATTTTTACTATTGCTGGAACAAATTTCCACAAGTCTAGTGACTTAATATCCATTTTTTATCTCACTTTTTTTTTGCAAGTCAGAAATCTAGGCTAGCATGGCTCCACTGGTCCCTCTCCTTATGTCTTACAAGGTCAAAGTCAATGTCTCACCCACGGCTGCAGTTTGCATCTGAATCTTGAGATTCTCTTTTGGGTTTGCTGGTTATTGGCAAGATTCATTTCCTTCACGTGCTTTCTATGTGATCTCCTTTACCTTCAAGCCAAGAGCAGGATGCATCCTTCTCATGCTTTGAATCTCTCCAACTTTTCCTTCTGCCTTCTCTACTGCTACCAGCCAGAGAAAGTTCTGTGCTTTAAAGGTGTATGTGATTAGATTAGGTTCACCTAGATAATCTTCCTCTTGATGTGTGCAGATTCTAGAGATTAGATCTTAGACATGTTTTTTAATGTATATTTTTTCATTACCACTTATCCCCCTTATACCCTCCTTGCCTCCTCCTCCCCTCCTCCCCATACCCCACTATCACCACACTACCATCCATGTCCATGAGTCCTTTTACTTTTTTGCTCAATCCCTCTACCCACTAACCCCACCCCCAAGAGCTGTCAGCCTCTGCTCCATCTATGCGTCTGTCCCCATTTTCCTTGTTAGTTCATTAGATTCCACATATGAGTGAAATCATATGGTATTTATCTTTCTCTTACTGGCTTATTTCACTTAGCATAATATTCTCCAGGTCCATTCATGTCATCACAGAGGATAAAGTTTTCTTCTTTTTTGCAGCAAAGTAGTATTCCATTGTGTTAATGTCCCATCGTTGTTTTATCCATTCATCTACTGATGGACACTTGGGCTGCTTTTGAATCTTGGCTACTGTAAATAATGCTGCCATGAACATAAGGGTGCACAGGGGTTCTTTCAGATGAGTGTTTTGGGTTTCTTCAGATAAATTCCCAGAAGTGAAATGGCTGGGTCATAAGCCAGTTCCATTTTTATTTTTTTAAGGAAATTTCATACTGCTTTCCACAGTGGCTGCACCATTTTGCATTCCTACCAGCAGTGCAAAAGGGTTCCCCTTTCTCCATATCCTCTCCAGTACTTGTTGTTTGTTGATTTACTGATGATAGCCATTCTAATAGGTGTGAAGTGATAACTTATGGTTTTAATGTTCATTTATCTAATGATTAGTGACTTTGAGCCTTTTTTCATGTCTATTGCCCATCTGTATGTCCTCTTTGGAGAACTTTCTATTCAGGTCTTTATCCATTTTTTAATTGGATTGTTTGGTTTTTTGGTGTTGAGTTTTATAAGTTCTTTATAAATTTTGGATATTAACCCCTTATCAGATGTATAAGTGAATATGTTCTCCCATTCAGTGGGTTGTTTTTTATTTTGTTAATAATTTCCTTTGCAGTGACAAAACGTTTTCAGCTTGATGTAGATTCTATGATGGTTTATTTTGTCTTTTGTTTCCCTTGCTTGAAGCAATATATCAGAAACAATATTGCTATGAGCAATGTCCAGGATTTTACTTCCTGTGTTTTCTTCTAGGATTTTTATGGTTTTGAGTCTAACAATTAAGTATCTGATCCATTTTGAGTTTATTCTTCTGTATGGTGTAAGAAGGTGGTCTAGTAGCCCTGGCTGGCGTAGCTCAGTGGATTGAGCACAGGCTGCGAACCAAAGTGTCGCAGGTTCGATTCCCAGTCAGGGTACTTGCCTAGGTTGCAGGCCATGACCCCCAGCAACCACACATTGATGTTTCTCTCTCTCTCTCTTTCTCCCTCCCTTCCCTCTCTAAAAATAAATAAATAAAATCTTTTAAAAAAAAGAAGGTGGTCTAGTTTCATTTTTCCCCACATATCTGTCCAATTTTCCCAACATCACTTATTAAATAGACTGTGTTTACTCCATTGTATGGGCTTGCTTCCTGAACAATCTTAGAAATTATGCCTACTATGGACAATTTCTGATCTAATGGAATTTATATCACCATATGTTAAAATGTGAGAATGTTGTGCATGTTCAGGTAATAGTGTCCTTATTAAAGAGTTTTCTGAAAGTGTTTAAATTTTTTTTGTTCTTTTGTAAAATGAGAACATTTCTTTACTTTAGAACCTTTCTATTTATAAAAATGTATGTAGTAATTGTACATATATACATTAGATGTTTACTTACATACATTTTATTAATACTATTTAATAAATATTATAAAATATATGAATGTGTACATAATACAATTTATCAAATTGCTATCATACCATATATGCAGTTTACATCCCTTTTTACACTAATATTGTTTCTTAATGTTAATGTTCCTCAAGATATTATTTTAATCAGTACATAGTGGTATACCATATGACTTTATTTAACCAGAACCCCTTGATATTTAATCATATTAAACAAATTTTACAAAAATATTAATCTATGATATTCATCTATGCTTATTTTCTCAAAATGGGTATCTAAGATAAAAACCTCAGGACTCATGAAAAGAACTATATCAAAATTCAAATGGCAGCCCACAATGTATAGATATATCCTATTATCTACATGTTTGCCAAAACTAACCATGTTTTCCAGTTTTGCCTGCTTGTATACAAAATAATATTATTTCATTGTTATTTAAATTTTCAATACTGTAATTCTAATAACTTTGAATATTTTACATTTCCTGAGCATGTATGCCTTTTTATGTTGTAAATTCCCACTCCATCTTTTTTTCAATTGGAATATTCAATATTTTCTTTAGGATTTTTATCTTTCCATGTCAAAGATAATAACTTTTTGCATGACAATTGTCCCAAATATTTTTGTCTGAAGTGAGCCTTTTTAATTTCTTTGAGAGATTTGTGTATATATATGTGTGTGTAGAATGTAGTTTTCATTAATATATAATTGTGCATAACAATAGTTTCTTTTACTGTTTTCCCCTTGCATATAAGCTTTAAAATCTTCACTACATAGCCAAATAAAGTATACACAAACAAACTGCAAATAAACAAAAAATCATGAGGTTCTTGGATGATTTTCTTTATACTTTCCCACCCCCATTTACCCAAGCAACCATTGAACCTGGGAGTCTTCCTAAGACCCCAAACTCAGACATAC